TTTGCTCTTTGACAGTGCTGTTTAGTTAGTTTTCTTTAGATGCCATTGTGTTGCATTTTGTCAAGTTTAGCTCTTGAGTTTATTCATTTGTATTTTAGTTTTGTGTAGCTTTATATTAAACCTTGCTTGTTACTGATCATCTGTTCCGGTCTGCGTTCGGGCCCTGCCCTATCCAGAACTTTGACATTGTGTGCCTACACTCAGATCGCCTATTCTCTTTGTTCACTTTGGCTTCCTTATTTCTTGAGCTGATTTCAGATTACAAGTCTACCCTCACTTCATGTATTTAACCAAGTGTAAAAGAGTCTTCAGAGCAGTCTTAGGCTAGTCAAGTCTTTAAGGAGTCACATCTCAGGTCAAGACCTGAAGCTGCTGGTACACAGGGTGTAAGAAGCAGGGTTTGGGTTTTTGACAGGGCAGAGGATCTGTACTGTATGTGTTAACATCACCTGCTAGGAATCAATTATTTTAATGGAAACTGTCAATTTGGCTAAATTTGTTTGGGCAGTACCAACATTTTGATGCAAACACAATGTCAGGAGCATCTTAACAAATGGCTTTCAAAAAGAATTTAAGATAAAGCAACTAAAAACTGGTTGGACTGGTAAATGTTTTTCTTGAAATCACTTCTTTTGTTGTTAGTGTTGAGATCACTGACTATTAGAGGGCTACAGAACTGTAGGGTGTGTAACTAGAGGAAAACACTGCTGAACAAAAGTCAGAATTCAGGTTTCAACCCTCCCTGGGTAAATAAAGACAAGTGCACCTACTGATGACATGTACAGTAATAAGACAGTGCCAGTCAAAACGAACACACAGTGCCAAACAATTAACACAGAAAGTAAAGAGGCAAGAGTTTGTGATTACCAGATTCCTGTTTATTACAAGACAACAATTATGATCAGCGTCCAGTATATAAAAAGCATACACAGTGTCACACACTGACTACTGCTGATGTCCTTGTCAAAACAGCAGCAGCTGTATGTGTCCAGCTCTGTCTACTTTAATATGTAATATGGTTTAACACATAACTTAAACATGACTCTGAAAGATTCCTAAAACCCGTGTGTTGTATTTAAAACACACGCTTTAAAAAGTAGGTGAGTGAATAAACTGATTATTGTAAGTAGGAAGAAGAAGGCGTCCAGGTAGCAACTTGTCATGTTTCTCTTCATGGCGAGGAATCTTCATCTAGTCAGAGTCGCTGCTGCAGGAGCTGCTGGAGTGCTGCAACAAGAAACGACACACTGTCACGTCATGCAGAGATGATGTCATTGTCTCATTATTTACATATCCTGTTTATCACCTTTTGCCACTGTTGTATAATATTTATTAGGCACAGGAAAAAAACTTACTGTTGTTCAACAAAACAACTGGATCTTACCCCATGACAACGCTTTCCTGTCCTGTGATATTTGTTGTGCATGTGACCCTGCTTATGTTTGTGGTGGTGATGATGCTAGTGGCCATGGTGGCCATGATGACCATGGTGGCCATGGTGCTCATGGTGCCCATGTCCATGGTGCCCGTGTTCATGGTGGCCATATCCGTTGTACCCATTTTCATATCCAGGACCATAAACCCCTCCATACCCTACAATTTGGGGGGCCATAGGTGGGCCGTAAGGTTGGGGTGGGACATAGCCTGGTACAACCTGAGGGTATACCCCATACATTTGATTTGGCTGATGGCAATGATGATGATGATTGTGATGGTGTCCTAATCAAATAAAAGGCAAGTCAAGGAAAGTTTATTTATATGGCAGTTGTTCATGCACAAAAGCAATGCAAAATTAAAAATGATTAAAGTTTGACAAACACGATGGGGAGTGGGTTTAAGTAGAAAGGAAAACACCCAACAATAAAAACTGGTTACAGCGAGTGAATTATTTACCTGATGGCCACATTTCAAAATTTCAAAATGATCCAAAGTCTGAAAGTGAAAGAAGTCACATGAATTCACAGAAATCTCCTCTAAACATAAGAAAAGAAATTCATTTTTATGAGAATGTGACTGTAAACAGCTATAAATGCAGCTTAGTCCACTGTGTAAAAGACTAATGTGCTGTTAAATATTGCCAAACAGGACGTGCAGGTCAGAGCTACTGTGTCAAACTATTTGGATATAGTCTACAAACAAAGCAGCGTCTCACATGATGCATCTGTCACATGACAAAGCTACACCCCATCAGTGGGCTATGTTTTGGTGAGGAAGACATGATCACACAATAATACAGTAGTGTTAACAAAGGAAACACCTGTAAACAAGCATCAAGATGACCGATCTACCAATACAGTCCAACATACACAAACACACATTTTTTAGAGGCCTCTCACTGACATAATGCCTGACCCCAGCCCTTCCCCTAACCCTGACCTAAAACCAAGTCTTATCCCTCAAACAGCCAACATGTCGTCACAGTGATGATTTCAAGCTAACGTTTCTCCACTCAACCATAAAAAAGACTTGTCCACACACACTTTAAGGTAGGTATTGATAGAGAACTGTTAGTAAACTCACTGTGTGCTGGAGTGCAGATCCACAGATACAGCAGTAGCAGTCAGATGACTTTGCTTTTATTTGAAGCCACACCTCAGATGGACACATCCCATGCTCGTCATCAGAGGCAGTGCATCTACTGTCTCTAACAGGTTTTTTAGCTCTTGTGTAAGGACTGTTCTGTTTTTTAATGCACGACACAGTTGACACACCTGTTCCACAAAGCCAGTGGGTATGTTATTGTCTGTAAACCAAACCTGTATTTCCTCATATGAACAGTGATGAAACCATTTTAATTTGAGCTGTTTGTTTTTGTCGTGTACCTACACTCAATCCCCTTATTGCCTTTGTTCACTTTGAGAGCTGTCTTTAGCTTACAAGTTTCATTTCACATTTTATGTTTAGTTAAGTGTCAAGTGTAAAATTTAGTCTTCAGAGAATCCTACCTTAAGTTTCAAGTCTTCCATCCAGCAAATCTGAAGTCAAGTCCTTAACCAGTCACATCTCAAGCCTCAGGTCACGACTTGAAGCTGCTGGTACACAGGGTGTAAGAAGTGGGGTTTGTATTTTTGACAGAGCACAGAATCTGTATTGTATGTGTTGCTCAACATCACCTTCTCGGAATCAACTATTTTTTTTGCAACAGTCATTTGGTTAGGTTGTTCTGGGCCGTATCAACATTTCCATGCCAACACAGAATGTCAGGATCCTCTTACGATAAAACAACTACAGACAAAACAGGCTGGCTTACACAGGCAACAGATGTTTGCAACTTGTCTTATTAAGTACTAAAAGTATTGAATGTATTTTAATTTTCCCATCTCCTATAAAAATGAAATTATTCCAAGTATTATTCTGGTAACTTAGTGACATATATCCATGTCCTTATAAGCATAAGCATAAACTGTATTGCTAAGTATTTAAAAACTACAAGGAATTTGACTCCAGCCCAATTTTAACGATAATCACCTTTACTGGCCAAGTATGTTACACACAAGGAACTCGTTTCTGGTACAGAACCGATGGCAGCCATCTGCGGCACCAACTCAACCGATGGCTCTAACCATCGGGGGTAACGGGGGGGGTTCAGTGTCTTGCCCAAGGACACTTCGACAGGTGAACTGCCGGCGCCAAGATTCAAACCTCCAACCCTCTGGTTGGGAGAAGACTGCTCTACCCACTGAACCACTGTTGCCTCCCCATGCTGTTGCAGTATGACTTATACGGAAGAAAGACTTCACTTGAATATTCTGCACGATAGAGTTTTGAAGAGCTTAACACTGGAAGAACTGAAGTTGAAGACCATGTGAAGACTAGACTCTAGAACATTTCTCGTTTTAAATACAGTGTGTTTAAGTTAAAATTAGTTTTTTGTTTGATTTTTTTTTTTCTGAAAAATGCTTTCCCTGCTGACATACGTGCTTATGTGTCACTAATCATGAGAAAACGTGGCCACAAGGCAGGAACATGTCATGGCACAGAAATACTGCACCTGAATGCAAGCAGGAAAGAGAAGAGGCAATATATTTTGCAATAGTGCTGCTGTTCAAGACTGTGTACTGATGTAAAGCTGGGGCGGGTGAGGCGACACAGGACAAGAAGTCAAAGAAAATAAAAGCTGTCCAAACAGGAAGCAGAGCTAAGCCATGACACAGTGAATTTATTAACCTATTGATGATGTTCACCCAGACCATCTGAATTGTTAACTTTTTTTAATGTTGTAAAATTGTAAGGTTAATTCCAAGGTGCTGAAATGTGTTGCTTTTACAAATCAGACTCTTGTGTGGTTCACCTCGCTGTTGTTCAGAACCTTGACAACCATATTACTGCATTAGAGGTCACTTTGCTGGACATGAACCAGGCTGTCAGTAAGAGAACAGGTTCCCACTCTACCATCTGCTGGCCACTCAACTATCAGCATTGTTTTCTCAATGCAGTCCACTGTAAAAATATGGCACAATTTAGCAAATGTTAGCAAGGTAAGTTAGTAAGAACCTAGCGAAACACACAAGGGACACAGAAGCCAGTGAGGGTAAAAACAAGTATTTTGTTTAATCAGCAGATCACAGCATCCCTTAAGCTGTCTGAGTTGGTTCACACAGCACCCACTGACTGTTTAAATCTCAGAACTGTCCATAACCTGATGAGACTTTCTAGTTTACTGACTAAACATTAAGCTAAAGTGTAAAGTTGGCATCTGGATTGTTTTTGAGAGGCACAGATTCAGAGGAAGCAAAGGGAATAAAATCCTCATTGTTGTAAATTAGTGGCCTTAAGTCCTATGATAAATCCAGGTAAGGGCCACATATCTTGTAACAGAATCAGTATGGTGCATATCTCAATCCCTCTACAAAAGGGAACTAAGTACTAAAAGTAACAAATATGATCCATTATGACCAATACTTGTTAGTATGTGTTAACTATTGTTATAAGTCTTACGTTGCTTACTAGCCTGCTGTACACCCACTGGTTCTGTTGACTGCATTAAGGAAAAACGATGGGTGGTGTATCCTGCTTACTAGCCTGCTGTACACCCACTGTTTCTGTTGACCGCATTAAGGAAAAATGTCAAGCGTCTCCTCCTCAATCTTAATTATGTGCGGCTCTGTTTCTCTTTTGATCTCAGAAGCCTGAATAGTGACCTGAGAGCTGTTAGTAGTCATCCCCTCCACTGCTTGGTCTTGCTGTGCAGGCGGTAATAACTGACTCCTGGACACTTTCTTCATGTGTTTTACTTCTTCCCATCTCTGTACTCTCCTTCCAAGCTCAGACCCCCTGTTTTTTCTTTTCAAAAATCTCTGCCTCTGAGAGACGTTTGTTTGTGAACATGACTGCTGAGGCCTGGAGCAGCTCTGCGTGCTCTCCCCCAGCACGGGCACAGACAGCACTGGAACGCAGCGTCTCTGCATGTCCTCTTCCACAGCTTTGAACACTAGGTCAGTGATATCTCGGCGAAGTCTCATGAGCACCATGGGGTCTTTAATCTGCCTCATATCTGCCAACATAACCTCTACGAACTGGTTCAGTATGTTGTGTCTGGGTGAGTTTGGTGCAGCTGTGTGGTCAGGCTGATCAGCAGAACTCTCGTTATTGTGACCGTGTGGACAGCTCAAAGACATGACCTCTGTAACTTGAGTCTGTGGGTTTGAACAGTGCAGGAGAGCAGGGTTTGGGGTGGAGGTAACAGATTGGAGTTCATCATTCAGATCTTGCTCAGTCACATCAGCATGCAGGGGGCTACCAAATGAGCTTCCTATCTCCTGGTCAACACTTCCTTCCGTCTCTGGCTCCTCATCATCCTCATCCTGATCATCAAACCTTTCCTCCTGCAAAAAGAGAAACACAGAAACATAACTAGGCAGTGCTCGGATCATTCCTTTACCATGAATACCTCTGCTGGCATTTGGAGGCACCTTACTATCATTAGTAGTTTGTAAGTTATACAAGAAGGATGACTTTTCATTAATGGTGGTTTTCTTCAGGATCTAGCTCAGTACCCTTTGAAGGCAATGTCAAATGTGTTGACACGCTACTCACTCAGCAGAGTTTCAGCTAGCATTTCATCTTAGTTGCAAGTTATTTGTTGTTTCAGCATTGTGGAGCAGCAGATATGGAATATTAGGCTACTTGGATACAGATCATACTTCAGTGTGAGGTAGATCTTCTGTGGATGTGCAATTTTTGTCCAAGCATCGTAGGTATTATATATGGACTTCAAAGCAAAAGTATTAAAACTGGCCCTTTCTCACAGTAGTAATGAATCCTTTACAAAACTTCCAGGATCTGAATAATCCAGATCAGCTCCAAAATCTAATGGATAGTTCGATGGGCCATACCCTACGTCTCAAATACAAAAATAAACAAACAAACATCAAAATCCATTCATTAATTTTTCAGGTATGCTCTGAAATAACCAACAAACAAATGCAGGTCAAAACTTAATCTGCAGGCTTTCTTGCATGAAATTTCCACTTACCAGATAGGAATCACTTCGCCTGCGAACTATGTAAGGCCTCAGGAAATCTAGTTTCTCCCTCAGCATCTTTTGCTTCAGAGTGCTGACCCTCTCCGGATGCCATAACACCCTCCCATATTGGGTCCGGAGCGATCTTGATCTTCTCTCAACATCAGATACTGTATGGAAAGGGAAAATAGGGAAAACAGGCAAATATGCAAAGTGTGACTGAACAGCAGTGTTTTAGTAGTAAATGGCTATGAAGTAAGGATAAACCTAGCCCCAGATTGTGACTCTCATGTATTATGTTGAATCTTCAACCCTCCAGGTAAAAACATAAAGCCTGTTTACTAATGCCATCATTTGTATGCCACATTTTTAAGGTAATTAATTCTAAAATGAAGGGAAATAACAGTCAAATATATTTTTGGACTACTGTAAATGTGAAAACTGTTTATTGAGACAAATTGTTTTTTTAATAATCAGTTAATTTTACTTTATAGTTATTCACTATAATTTTAGGCAGTAGATATAATCATTACGCTCATTTTTCCTTCAAAAAGACGCGTCACACTGTGCAAATGCTAAGTCATAGTAGACCACTGTGCTGAGCGAGAGAGTCGACGTCATTTCCGGTCGCCATCTCAACTTTTCTGACAAGCAAATCGTTTTTCTCGAAAAACGGACAAAATTTATATTTTTCCTGGACCGGCCCACATTAGGTTTGATTCCAGATCGCTAGATGAGGCTACGAAGATTCAGGAAATACCTTCAGAAATTGGGTGAGTGTTATGAAATGACGGTACGAGGTTAAAACACTCGGCATGTTTCAATTTCGAGCGCTCACGGAAAATTATTATCTGTGACTCGGGTGTATGTGATACATAAGCTGGGCTAGGATATACCATAAAACCCCTCGGTCCTACTACTGTTTAAACTTCGAGTGTCCTTTAACAGGCTACACTGCACAGTGCTAACGGTAAATACACAGATGAATGGGATCAGCTGGGTCCATACCCTCCAGTGCATCCCCTGTGTTTGCACTTGATGCAGTTCACACTTGCAATACAATGCAGCAGCAATTTACCAGGCTTTCCGATGGACAGCGCGAACTCGGTCCACAGCTTTGCCTTCAAATCCTTGTCGTAGTAAGAATCGATCGAGGAATTAAAAAGGCATTCGTGTTTCCGCCAGAAATCTATCAGCATGTTGTCCATTGTAGGGCCCCAGTGTGGCCCCCGTATCTGGCCCCGAAAGTCTGTCATAGTCTACGGAGTAAACTCCGGATCGATGCTCTCGGTAGGCTCCGCTTCGCTTCTTCTTTAGTTTCGCTTCATCCCGGTTATGATAAAAACTGGAAACACGATTACTGCCACCACCTGATCTGGAGCAAGGACTGGAGGTTGTAGACTTTATATTAGGATTATGTTCTATTTCATCTATTTATTTTGTCCACAGAAATTAGGATAAAGTCTATTCGACCTTATCAATCCACATTTAGCCTATAGGCTACCTTATTCATATGGATATAAACTACAGGTAGGCAATATTTACATCAGCCTATAAGCTATTTGCATTGTCTATGATTATTGCTATACTGCTTTTTTTATATGTTGTGCTTTTTGTTATATGTTGTGCCCTATTTTCCCATGGAAGTTAATGTAAACTTCCATGTATATATATATTTATACACACATGAATTGCAAATTGTTATGATGCTGTTGATGATGATGATTATTATTATTATTATATCACTTCGAAGTCTATTCAACTCTCATATTTTCCATATTAAAAAATGACGAAAATGTCTTATTAATAAATACATGTAAAATATGCAAATAAACACAAAATATGAAAAAAAAACACTGTAAAGTTTATTGCAATTAATACAAGCAAATGAAATGGCCTACAGTGCATAGAATAAAACAAGCGAGGCTGTATGTAGTGTACAAGCCTGACAAACCCTACATCCTGGTTGACTTCATGTTCACTTATTTCGGCCTCTCTCTGTGATTGACAGCTGCACAGCCCTGCCTGGAGTGTCTGCGTCGCTCTGCCCAGCCTCCGCCATCTTGCCTCTCCCTGCCTGCCAGAACCCGAGTGCGGAAGTGGAAAAAGCGCTGTGCAGGCTCAGGGTTCCGCCTGCTGACGGTGTGTTAGATCCTCCCGCCGACACAGCCTGCTAGCCGTAAAATTTAACCGTTTCTACGCAGCTGAGATCCAGGGAGAGATGGCTGGACGGTTACCGGCGTGTGTTGTCGACTGCGGCACGGGGTAGGTTGCTCAGACCGGCAGACGGGGATCGGGTGTCATCCAGAGACTGAATACGGTTAGGGACTGTCAGTGTCAGCAGTAGCAGTAGTAGTATTTGGGTGTGTGTGTCACTGTGTAGATGCAGACAGCTAGCCTGCTAGCTAATAAGCTAACTGTTATTGCCACCCACGGTTGCATTGAGATAAGCCCAGTCAGGTTGTTTGAGCTGCTCTGAAGTTCACAGTCTCCGCATATTTTTCATGTTCGTTATCTTACTCGTTACACAGTTTCGTAATTATCAAGATTCAGTAACTAGCTAGAATATGTCTTCTTCCTGTCGAGGGGATTTCACTGGCAGATCCATAAGATCTCAGCTGGTGTTGGCTGTTTGAAGACCGAAACCTGACTGAGGGGAGGATAAAATCACAGCTGACTTCATTCATTTACAGTTGCTGAGCTGTTATTACCAGGACAATCTAAAGCTCTATGCTAATGTAGCATAGTTTGCACACTGATATGTCCGCATATGGATATCAGTGACTTTAGTTTGTGTAATTCATACATCTTTTTGCCTATTAGTCTGGATTTGAGCAGGCGCAGTGCTACTTCCTATACAGCCTGTACTTCCTCATTCACGCTTTTAGTCCATATATGGTCGTTTCTCGGCATCCGAACATGTTTTTGGATCAAATCCTCTAATTTCTCATCTTTGCCGAGCTACTGATTATTTTATCTCAGTTGTATTTAGGCAGTAATGTTTTGCTGTGGCAGCAGATGTTTTAAAGGAGAGACAAATATTCCAGGACTAAAAATGTTCTTAGCTCCTGCAACAGTTTGCATTGATCGATGTGCATACCTGTTTTCCTGCTTGGTAAAATTTGACTTCTAATTGGTTATGTTTACATGTAGATTTAAACCATGTAGGACATTTTAATGATATTCTCCAGTTGATATCTTTATCCTTATGAACACATAGTCATTGCAGTACCCCCTTTTCCATGAATGGTTTCCACTTAGAGGAAGAGAAATGTGTTTTAGCCAATGCGGACAAGTACAAAAACAGTACTGAGCATGATCAGTATGGGGCCTAAAAGTGGTTTGCATTGCCTGCATGTGGCATACCTCCCCCCTCCCTTCAGGCTGTTAACCAGTGTCCTGCTTCTGATCTGCACTGGGACAGCAAAAGAGAGTGCAGCTGAGAGCTGGGTTAGCCTGTGCTACTTTCTGCTCATCAAGCAGATGGCTTACACGTCTCTGGCCAAGCCTTAAAGTCATAACTCATATGTTACACTATCAGTATCTAGAATAGATTTTTATTAACAAAAATAGGTTTACAACTTTTCTGTTTAAGTGAAAACCTGGGCATGCTATGGCTTTGAAGCTTAGCCAGAGATTACCAGCTGTCGGCAGATGTTCAGATGCTTGAGATGTCTTTGAATCATGCTCATGGTGTCCAAATGGTGGCTCTACTTCCTGTTACACATCAAGTTTCTGAGTGCTCAGGCTGCTCTAGACTATTTGACCATGCTGAGAATCAACCATAGACACATCCAGACTGTGATGTAGTTTATGTGTCTTATGCAAAACTAGCACTGCACTGTCAAATCAAGGCTTCCATAGCGGGAATAAGATTTCAGGTGTTGCAGCTCATTTTGTTGCAGTGCATTTGAAGGGCTTAGGTGGAGTCATTGTTCATATGTCTTAAGCAAACACCTAAAATTTCATAACACAAGGCTGCAGTCATGACTCAGCCCAGTTAGCATGGGCAAACATTTAATTACAAGGTAACGTAGATGCATAGATGTTTTCTGTTATATTTGGTTAAAAGTATATGCCCCATTGAGGTAAGAATAACAGTGGGTCAGATTCTAAAAGGATACTAACATGCAGTACAATCACTTGTCATAAATGGTTTTGTCCTGGAATTCACCTTCTTATGCTCAGCTCTTCTGTGTGATGATGTCCACTGCCAGATGTGTGGTGTGCTTTTAGCTTGTCGAGGCAGGTTGAAGTAGACAAGTTGGGACTGTTCTGGTATGAAGGTGTTCACAGTCCTGCTGCTGCAGTCTGTTCCTGTCAACCTGTGAGCTTGTTACTGTCATCTAACTGCTATTGTTATCTCTGAATGCCAGTCCATGCTTTTTGGGCTATAGTGATAAACAGCTGATATAATGTTCACAGCGAAAAAAAAAAAAAAAGAAAGTGTAAACTGTGTGCACCAGCTAGTCACCACCTGTGTGTGCGTTCTGTTTGTTGTTGGGCAGGTAGCACACACATACACACAGAGTTTGTCAGAGCTTTTGAAGTGAGAATCGTTTCCTGCTACTGCTGCTGCTGGTGGAAGCAAGTTTGGTGAGAGGTCATAAAATCAAAACATTGAGCTGAAAGGAGCTGAAAGATGCAAAAACGTTCTGTGGAGCAGAGAGCTGCAGAGCTTGGTGATAGTTCTCTGTGAGTTTGTTAGTATGAATATCATCTTTGCCATTAAACCTTTGATTTAGTGCCAACATAAAAATCAGGATTACTACACCTTTAAAGTGATATTAATGCCCACAGAGATAAAATATTGTGATCATGTAAATCTGGAAACTGCAGTATTTCCATAAAGTCTTTGCTCTTAACTAGTTTTTATCAGTGACGTGCACTGTTTGGTTGCCGCCCAAAGCTGAAGAGTTGGTTAAGTGGTAGTGTTACAGCAAAGATGCTACTATATCATCCAGCTTTCTCTGAACATGCGTATTGTGTGTTAAAGTGCTAATTTTCAAATAATTAAAGACACATGGCACATAGCATTGTGTGTTTAAAGGTCGATAAACCATTGTTTATTTTATGGTGATGACTTTAAGATGTTAGTCCAGACAGTCAGTGTCTGTGCACCTTAGGATTATAGAGCAAGTCAGCAGTAGAGGTTTAGTAATGGAGCTTAAATCTGTGCAAAGTGAAAGAAACTGTGCCATTATTTGTAGTAATACTGCAAATAGTGGACTTGCTATTTCCTCCTGTATTTGAGTATGTTGTGTGTTCCCAATGTGTTCTTTCTCTTGGCTTTACCTTTAAAAGCTAAACACAAATGGCTCCGTGGTATGTTAGTGGGCTTGATGGACAGGTGAAGTTGCCAGATTAGCTAAATACTATAACTTTATCCACACACCACACTATGTTTTCACTTCTTGAGAAAGTTGCTCAACTGAAGTGGAAATAAGAGGTGGTGTGGGTGGTGGGCATGTGCTCACATCTGTTTTGGTCAGAGGACACAGGAAATCTGGTTATAAATCAAGGTTGAGTTTCTGTCCAGCTGGGAAACAGACTTTCTGACACAGACATGCACGGAACGCACATGTAGGTCTGGGCATCGATCTAAAATGTTCATTACCGGTCCTGATACCAATACCTTGACTCTGATACCCGTTTCTGAATGATCCTTTTTCCAAAATAAGTAAATACATTATATGAGTGTGTGTGTGTGTGTTTCCTTTGCATTTTTGTGCACTCAGTCATTTCATAACATGAAAAGTAAACTTATTTACCACAACATTAGGTTCTGTTAACATGAACATCAAATAAAAATGTAGAAAAGCATTTTTCAATACTTGACATTTTTTGATATTCGATTGTATTGAAATAATTCCATCGATGCCATAAAAGTATTGAAGTTCGATACTCAGCACTACACAAGCTTCTAGGATGATGTCACATTTATTTATTATTTTTGATGATATTAAAACAGCCTCTTTTTAACATCCTTTTAACAATTCTTTTTTTGTGCTCAGAGCTGTAAGTTTGAAAGGGATTATAAGAGTCAGTGTGCGTTTTACAAACTACACATTAGAAGTTAAGAGAGTAATACCTGACATATCCTAAAGGAACCATATAAAGTAACATTTGCCCGTGTTTTGTGCTGATAAAATAAGAAACACGACACCTGGTGATCAGAAACTGTTGCTGTGATGTTTTGTATTTGGGTTTAGTGGTCCACAGTTATAGGGGGCTGATTTTTCATGTTATATTCGGTCTGGTCTTAAGCTGTCATACCATTTCCAAGTCATGTTTTCTTCCTGTTTTTTCCTAAAGTTGAATTCACAGAAGTCATTATTATGACTAGGATGTGGCCTGTTATGCCCACAGTGCTTTGGCAGTCACTGGTGTCTTCTATCAGTCCCTCGGGTTCTGTGTGCAGACAGTATGGGAGTCCTGTCTGGGCCTAGACCAGTTAGGATGACATCTGGTTAGCATGTGTCCTGCAAAACACTGTTCCAGAGCAGAGACATGGAGAAGACTGTAAATTCAAGGCTGACGGTGTGCTTCCAGTGTTTATTGTATGAGCGTGGTAGTGGAGAAGTTCATTTTTAGAAAGATTTTACATCACCTTGTTTATTCATACGACTTCCCTCAGGGTTAGGTTTGGCTTGCTTTTTAGAGAAGTAGAAAATAGAGAAGCAGGAAATTCAAGATTCAGCAGCCAGTGCTGAGGTCACAGTGAGTTTATATTAGGCATGGTCAGTTTATACAGAAGTCATCTAACAAATGTGAATAGTCCTTAGTTTCCCAATGCGACATCAATGGCTCTTTTTAACAGCCTCCCATTGGCAAACTCCAGAGCCGCCGTTGCTTTTGGCACCGAACCAAACTGCCACAAGACAGTGATGGCATTGATCAAAATGATAGTGTGGGAGACAGCAGCCTAAAATAGTCTCTACATGCATAGAAATGCAGTGCAGGAGGTGTAGCCCGTGCTCTGTTCTGTGTAGAACACACAGCTTGTTCCTCTGTAATGATAAGTGATTCTTTTCTTCTTGCAGTTACACCAAACTGGGCTATGCGGGGAACACAGAGCCACAGTTCATCGTTCCATCATGTGAGTACTGGGCATTGAATTCTCCTCTCTCCATCCGAGAAGGCCAGTTACACTAACAATGAACGTCATGCATGTTTGATAAGAGGAACATTTTTATTTTTATTTCACTGGTTTATTAGCTCCCGCTTAAGGAAGCTCGTCTTCCTGGATGCCAGTTAAATTGCATAAAAGAGCAAAAATATGTCATTTCAATCATATATCTTACTACAATGATCGACAACCTCTTAACACAACTGGTATGAGGAAGTGGGTGGGATCATCAAATGGCCATTGATTACAAGTGGCAAAACCTGTCTATACTAACATATTGGAGTAAAAATGATTTCTTTAACTTGTGCTAATTTTTGAAAAATAACATTCAGGAGGAAGTTGGATTTCTTGGTATCACCTGTGTCTCAAAACCTGCATCCAGAACACTTGTAAAGTGTTTGATATTCTTGATCTTCTAACATATTTACCCATAACTCATACACATTTGTAGGAGCAATTATTCTCTCTAGTGCTCTTTATTAAATGTTCTCTCTTCATGTCAGGTATTGCTATCAAGGAGTCAGCCAAGGTCGGAGACCAGGCCCAGCGGAGGATGATGAAAGGGGTGGATGACTTGGACTTCTACATTGGGGATGAAGCCGTAGACAAGCCCTCATATTCCACTAAGGTACATTAACCCACAGAAGTAACTGGCTCAGTAATTACTGTGGTTGGGTTTCAGTTTCTTTGGATGGTGTTTTCACTGTATGTCACGTATTTAAACCAAGAAGCAGGTTAAAGGACATTACGTTAAAGGGGACTTTCCTCCCATTTTGCAGCAGTTAGGGGTAGATGTTGGCTCGAGCATTTCTTAGTAGCTGGTTAGAAGTTAGAAATGACACCACCCCCCACCCCCCGTTAGCTGCTTGGTGTCTTTGTTGGTGCAGGCAGATTCTCACTGCAGACATTTTCAGTCACAGGTGCAGCTGATTAATTAACCATGGCTCTGTTTCAGTTAGGTCCCTGTTAGCCAGTGTGCCCACATGCACTTTACTTTACACGAGATGCAATACTTTACATATACAATGCCTATAAACAGTTCTTCAATGTGTTATTGTTGGACACTATTCTCATACAATGTGATGCATACGATATAATCACTGCTGGAAATCTTTAAAACTGCACATAGACGGTGAAATTAAATGAAATTTCAAACAAATCTTTTTTGTTGCTCCTTTCACTGGCAGTGACATTATGAAGTTCCAGTTTAACTGATACCCAGTGGTGCACTCACTGTGTCATTTTATGTTTGTGATTTCTTGTATGTTTAACTACAAAACAGCACAATCGAAGGTGGGTATATACTCCGTATCGTGTATAGTCACTATGTACTGTGGCTCTGGAACACCTAAACTGAATTGTTATTGGTGATGCTCTGTTCACTGAACTTCCGTCCTTGGTTGTTGCGGATGCTGGCAGTCTACTCCCCCTGCTGGCTCTGCCATAACAGCTACACGATGTCATCAGACAAAGTACTTGCTGTACATTGTAGAAACAGCTGTTGCAGTGTTTTAACTGTAAACAGAAAGGAAGCTGTCCTATGTGCTGGACCAGTTAGATTTCATTATGAGAGGACTATGAAGCCATCCAGAATATGGAAACTGGAAAATAACATCTCTGACAGCTTTTTTTTTTTATCAGATATTTAGTTTCAGTGTTTCAGAGTTAAACTTAACGGAGAAACCTAGGTGCTGGAAACTGTGTAGAGAAGAATTAAATCCAAAAGCCATATTGAGACAGTTATCACTATTTTTGCATCTTAGAGGAGAGACATCAAGCCAACGGTCGGCCTTCGTCAGCCCATCAGTGAGCCTCTGTCGGGGCTCATCCTCCCGGTGTGTCCCCCATTGGCACTAGTCGACATGTTGAATCGGCAGTTGGGCCTGGTCAGTGAGAAAGAGACCACTGATTGGCTGCCAAGCTTAGTGAATCAGTGCACAAGAAGAGACCGGTTGGGGAAAGCCCCTTCAGTCTGTCGCTGTAGTATCCATGATTTGAACCATTTATTGTGGTTTCTCCTTGTTTTTCGCCTCCACCTCCTTCTTCTTCCACAACCAAAAGACCAAGGGCTGAGAACGGCAGTGTCATTTGCGACTTCTTATCAGACATATTCTCGATTAGAAGCAGCTTTAAACAGCAGCTGTTTTGAACAAGAGGTGCTTTGTTTAAAGTTTATTTTTCTGCGTTGGCTGTAGTCTGTGCGTGGTGTTCAAGTGCCACTTTTTCAACCCGACTGGCCCAGACAGAGGCCTTTGTTGCTGCTAGTTCTTTCAAAACGGCTTGGTCTGTCTCTGCCCTTATATTTACATATGTCTTTCTGAAACTGCCACAGTACCTCACATGCATTGTTCTAACCAACTGAACCTTTATGCCAACAGTGGCCAATCCGTCATGGAATTGTGGAGGACTGGGACCTAATGGAACGCTTCATGGAGCAGATCATCTTTAAGTACCTGAGGGCTGAGCCTGAGGACCACTACTTCCTCTTGGTGAGAGTCTTGAAGAAATAAAGTCACAATTAACACTATTACAACGACAGTGCACTCTTTATTTGTCTTGTAGTTTATTTTGACAAGCTTACTGAAGCTACATTATGAGACACAACCTGACAGGGACATTAATTGTTACTTAATGTTAACACTGGTAGGCTAACATTGATTCATTATTAGTACATTATACATAGTATAGTATACTTATAGTACAGTAAATGGTCAAAAAGGTTTAAGTCCTGATTTTGTCCTACCTTCACCTGTAAGTCTGAGTTTGTTACAGGTTAACTGTCCTGTGTTTGTGGGGTTTGTAACTTTTATTCTCCATTTGCAGACAGAGCCTCCACTGAACACACCAGAAAATCGAGAGTACACAGCTGAGATCATGTTTGAGTCCTTCAACGTACCAGGGCTGTACATCGCCGTGCAGGTCAGGCTCACATGCTGGGATGTCCTGTGCATGCTTCTCTTAACTAATTTGTAATCCAGTTATCCTGATGCATATCATATCCACGGTTGTGTTCCAGCTGTGGACTTTCATTGCATGTCATTCCCCCCCTCTCTCATAGCCCACAAAAAGCCAAAGCTATTACTAATATGGCAATATGTGTGTTTGTGTGTCAGGCTGTGCTTGCTCTAGCAGCCTCCTGGACATCCAGACAGGTGGGAGAGAGGACGCTGACCGGCACTGTCATTGACAGTGGAGACGGTGTCACCCATGTCATCCCTGTGGTGAGTTTACACTCTTTAGACAGTACTCACACCCCTTTGTTGTTTTAGATTCCGTTTTAAATTAAACACTCACTGACCTATAATGACAAAGTGAAAATGTGACAATTAGAAAATTCATCAACAATCAAATCTCTCTTTTTCAAAAGTGTTCAGATGCTTTTCTGTGGCACTCCAAACTGTGAGCAGGTGCATCCAGTTCACTTTCATTTTGTTGTGTGTAGAACTTGACTGGAGTCGACCTGTACACAACTGAGTTAAGTGGTCTGATCAAATGAGACAAAAACTGAACTCTGGGTGCAACTCCAAGCACTGTGCCTGTTGAACATAAGGCACGGCTCATCGCCTGCTAACACTATCCCCACAGTGAAGCATGGTGGGGGCAGTGTCATGCTGTGGGGGGCTTCTCAGCAGCAGGGGCAGGGAGACTGGTCAGAACTGAGGGAAGGATGAATGCAGCCAAGTACAGAGAGGTCCTTGAAGAAAACCTGCTGCAGAGCACAGCCGCCTGACACTGGGTGATCCTTCACCTTTCAGCACAACAGTGACCTGAAGTACACCACTGATACCACACTGGGGTGGCTTCAGGACAGTCTCTGGCTGTCCTCGAGTGGCCCACATTTAAATCATGTAGAGCATCTGTAGAGAGACTTCTTTGTCCCACACTTCCCATCCAATTTGTGGATCCTAATGTCTGTGGGTTAGATGCTCATTCGGGTCGACTTGACTTGTGTTACTGTACAACAGGTCAAACTCACAAGGTGTCACCAGCTTTGTGACAAATTGTACCAGCATGCTTTGATATCAAAATGTGTTGGCTGGTCTGTTAGTGTGTTTTTGTTTGTGTGTGCCTGTTAATATACTCTGATGGCTTACATTGTGTTTAAGGGCATTAGGGTGTAAGAATGGCGTGTAAAGAGGTGTTCTATTGAAGTTTTATACACCAAATGACCAATGGTGACTTCTCCTTTTTAAGAAACAATATTTCCACCTGTCTGCTTGTCTAGTAACAGGATAATCTTGATGCTTAAAGTAGCCCAGTGGTTTTCAGAGCTTGGAGGGAATTAGTCAGTGTTAGGAAATGTGCTTGCAGAATACATTTAGAGACTGGATGACTGAATCAGCATATCTGCAGCCACTGCTGAACATGTGCAAAACAGAAGCCAAACACAACACTGTGCGGATGTGGAGAAGGCCTCAACAGATCTTATGGAAATAAAATCAAACTATAAAACCTGCAGACTCAGCGACTCTATTTGCTACATGCTTGTTCCTTGTTTATTTTATTACCCATTATATGACATCATTCTCTCTGTCTCTTTATGGATTCCTTTTTCCCTCTCAGGCTGAAGGGTATGTAATTGGCAGCTGTATAAAACACATTCCCATCGCAGGACGAGACATCACCTATTTCACCCAGCAGCTCCTTAGGGAGAGGGAGGTGGGCATCCCACCAGAGCAGTCGCTGGAGACGGCCAAGGCAGTCAAGGTAGATCACTCACCAGCATTACTCACTGACACCTTGTCGACTGAAGAGGCAGCAATTACTGCCACTGGTGCTGACTGGAACACACTGGTGGTGTGTTCTCACGTGTTCTGTGTGCAATGAATATGTTGCCTGCCTGGTTTGGAGTAGTGCACCAACTAAGTCTACACCATTATGGCAGAAATCATAATCGCTATTGGTCAATATTGAGATCACGATTAATTAACACTCATTGATTTTGGAAACAACATTTATGCGACTTTAAAAAAAAAGTCTTTTAACTAATGTTCCATCTACCTAATTGTTAACAATTCATAGGAGATTACTTCTTTATGGAAGTGTATTGCATTCACCAAAGGAAAAGAATTGGAGGATGCTATCTTGTAATTATGACCTACTATCTCATAATCATGGGATCATGACCTCAGAATTATGAGATCACTGAGAGCCACTGTACCAGAGTCATATTCCTTGTTCTCCCCGTGGTTCTCTCCGAGTGCTCCGGCTTCCTCTCAGTCCAAAGACATGTAGCTTAGGTCGATTGGTGCCTCTAAACTTCCTGAAGGAGTGAATGTGGTTGTCTGTCTCTGAGTGTCAGCCCTGTGATAGACTGGCGACCTGTCCAGGATGGACCCCCCTGACCCTCTTCAGGAATAAACCATATAGATAAAGGATGGATGGATGGAAAACTTTAACTTTGGTTTCTTTTTGAGGACACCAGGTGGCACTGTTGTTCTGCCTGTCACATCCAGCCAGTGTCCTTCAAAAAGCCACTGCTTTGTTTTGCTTTGCTTGTTACTTTGTGGTGATTAACACTGGTCCCCACATCGAGATCAGCCCAAGCTGTTGAAAACAATTTGAATACAGGGACCTATAGAAGTTGTATTGTGCTTCCAATGATCTTTGAAAGTTAATTTGCCAGAATCTTTTGATCACAATTAAGAAGAGAAACTAGCTGAGAACCACTAAGATCAGAAGCATCTGTCCTTTTTGTGAATGAAAGATAAAACCACAGTATGCGTGGAATGTGGCATTATATGTCGGGTCAAGCTCTTGCAGTTTATTGGGGGAACAAGTAAACATCTTGAAGTGTATGGTGGGACCTTGTATTCACTGGTGTGTGCCTTTATAACTTTGCACAGTTCAGAAGTTCTCAAGCACAAATGTGAAACTCATTACAGTAAACAAGGTCTTGTGTTACAACACCATCTCTCCAAAGCTCGTAGCCAGAAACAGAAGAGGACATTTGTAGACTCATCTGGTTTGTTGATTCATATTGACTGATGAAAATAAGTATTAGAACACAGAAGATACTCCAGCTGATTTTTAAGAGGTGTCAATTATACAGTTAGCTCTAAATAAATATAAACAGAATAAGAAGCATCATTGGAAGTTTTGTTTTCTATGCTGTGCCCCGACCTTGTCAAGGAGTTTAACAAATACGACACAGACGGCTCCAAGTGGATCAAGCAGTACACTGGCATCAACGCCATCAGCAAGAAGGAGTTCACCATCGATGTGGGCTACGAGCGCTTCCTGGGACCTGAGATCTTCTTCCACCCAGAGGTTGGTCAGTGCGATGTGAATCAGAGCAGGGAACGCAATTTAAGATGATGGAAGTCTACAAAGACTAGACAGGTCTGAAGGGGGCGCATGTTGAACGAGTGAGAAGTTGTAGAGGACAACAGACTATGAATAGAGCCACTTATACACGGGACGGCAGATTGTTTAGCTCTGATCAGGACTTTGATGATGGACCATATGTACATAACACAGTGTGGGAATAAGGCTTCTTCTTTTAATCAAAGCTTTTATTGAAGGAATAATGTAAACAAGAAACTTAACCCTTCTCTCTCCTACAGATACTCTTAGCCCCCCTCCCCAAAGAACACATAGATAAACATACTTAAACAAAACAGATGAGTAAAAGAAAGTTTAAATAAATAAATATCAATTAGACAGAGAGCAGAAAGACAAGTTTGCATTAGAGGTTCTATATTCTTAAAAAAAGGTGAGGAAAGGCCGCCAGGCATCATCAAACCTATGAGTACATCCCTTTAAAGAGTACTGACGTTTCTCTAATTGAATGTGGTACGTAACCTCAGGCAACATCTGGATCAGGTACTTTGACACACACCCAGCACAGAGTGACACGTGTTCTGTGTTCCTCACCATCCAGTTTGCCAACCCTGACTTCACTCAGCCCATCTCTGAGGTCGTGGATGAGGTCATTCAGAACTGCCCTATCGATGTCAGGCGTCCTCTTTATAAGGTAAGGTACTGTAAGTGTTGTGTTTGGGATGAAATGTGCGACACCTCGTTCTCCATGTTACATCCTCTTGTCAGATTCATCTTTATTCTTGGGACACAAAAGTTATTTGCCATTCATGAAGACCTGCTTTGACAGTAGCTGAAGTAATTACCTGATCTGTTTGCTAAAATTGTGGCCTTTCTCTGCGTCAGTTTGAAGGTTTATGATTACTTTTAGATAAACTCTGCAGCCTCTGTTTTTCCTTAGTGCTTATGCCAAACAATAAATAGTTTTGTCCCTGGTAGTCGGCATCAGACCGGTGAATCATACTGCTGGGACACGCTCAGCTTGGTTCATTGTTGCTAACTGAAATGTGGGGGAGACTGATATGTCCACATGTGGTATCAAGAGGTATTTGACTTTTGTCCGTTGTAATTCCACCATAGTATTGTGGGCCATGTTTACAGACTGGCTGGTCAGTGGTCAGTTGCAGGTCACAGTGGTGAAGGTCTTCTTATTCCACAGCTCCGTAATCCCCCCCCACTTTTGTTTTCCACAGAATATTGTTCTGTCAGGAGGCTCCACCATGTTCAGGGACTTTGGGCGCCGTATGCAGCGAGACTTAAAGAGGACGGTTGATGCCCGACTGAAGATGAGCGAGGAGTTAAGTGGAGGGAAGCTCAAGGTGAGAGTACACAGTCATTTGTACACAGCAGAGATCAATACTGTGTGTGGAGTGAAACAAAGAAAAGATGTCCTTTCTCATTGCAAATACAGTTGGTGCACATGTGCACGGAATATAGATCAGTTGATTTCAATATCAAACGTGTAAAATGTAAATCTAATAGGGTCTTAAAATCTACATAGGAGACATTTCCCCCTCAGGGGAGAAGTATATACAGTGTTTAGTGACTCCTGCTACCTTGACTGGTCAAGTTCTGAAGGCAGTACCCGTGATTCATCGTGATGAGATGTCATTCAGTCTGTAAATCCACCTCAGGCATCAATGCAGATGGTGAATACACCTAAAAAAAAAGGCTGAATCACAGTCGTACAAGCAATTTGAGCAGGTTTTCACTGCCGCAGTGATAACAACCAGTTTCATGGATTGGGCAGGTAAACACACTGTTGGTCTTTATACACACAGTATGTACATTTTGTGTACATACAGTACATCTTATTTTAGAGATTGGAGTGAATTTTTATTTATTTTTTTACACTTTAACAAGTGTGTGACTTTAAGGTTTACGAACAGGTTCGAGGGACTTGGTAAGGATGGGATTAGATCTGTAGAGATACAGCAGGTTTAGCTGGGCTATACACATCATATGCTCCTAACGTCTGTAACGTCTGCCATTTAATCCACTTGATTATGTGTCGTTACCGTAGCTCCCAGAGTGGATGAACTTAACAGATCCCCAATGTTTCTCTGTGTCCTTCCCCCTCAGCCCAAACCTATTGATGTCCAAGTTATTACTCATCATATGCAGAGATATGCAGTCTGGTTTGGTGGATCAATGTTAGCATCAACTGTAAGTATTTCCAATGTGCACCCACATGACTTTACCAGCAGTTATTCCCCAGCATTATATCTTTTGTGCCACTGAAGGGCATGCAGTGCTTTAGTTCAATGCTTTGATGAACGTTGTTATTTGTGAGTGAAGCTGATCATTTTTACCAGCAGCAAATATGGCAGAGGTCAGTTGTTTAATAAAAGGCTAACTGATTTTATAATGTGATAGAACTGTTCACTGGTTGGAGTAGCTGCTGTCTGATGTGTCTCGGGTAAATTTTTAAAACACCAAAATGGGTTTTTTTTTTTTTTTATAGACATGCTGGTCATTATTATTATTGATGGGTGTAACAGCACAGGAGTGGTTTCATTTTAAAGTGCAATCCAAACCAGCCTTCTTCAGTTAACAGTCTTGTCAGAGGTTTTTAGATGTATTAGCCTTTTACTCATTTTAAAGTAAAAAAAAAAAAAGGTCTGGAAATGCACCAGAAATGCAACAGAAGCCTTGAAGCCTGACACTTTTATTTTAACATTGAAGTGTTCTGCCTTTTTGTTCTTGTATAGGCCTGTGTCAGTCCCAGTCCATTCATCTTTGTTTGTTTCCACAGCCCGAGTTCTACCAGGTTTGCCACACCAAAAAGGACTACGAAGAGATCGGGCCCAGCATCTGTCGCCACAACCCTGTGTTCGGAGTCATGTCATAACTTTGGCGTCTAACAGCGGCGGGTGGGAGCTGGAGTAGGAGGGGTGAAGTTAGGAAGTGTAAAGGAGGGCTCAGGAGGTGGGCGACGGTGGCGCTTCTGTGATTTTCGATTACTTGTTCAGCTATGGATGTGTGGCACAGGAAGGCGATCCAGAATATAAAAAAAAAAAAACAAGAAAAGAGACCAGACCAAACACAGACCAGCTGGAAAATGTATTGTGAATGTTCCTTTTTTCATTTTCTTTTCTTTATAAGTTTTTTCAAAATGAGGGAAAAACGGTTTGTAAGCCAAAATCATTTTAGGAACATTCCTGGATCTGTTGAGCAACATGATGATGATGATGATGATGATGATGGTGGTGGCTATAAAGATGGCGTTGGTGGAGGCCTGAGATAGTTACATTGGTAATAATTTCCTGACACCCGAGCATATGATTTATGTTTATAAACACGAGTCCAGGCATCTGAAGACTTGTGAGATCAGTGAGAAGTTTGGAACATATTATTGTCTCCTGTTATGTTCTTCATCCTTTTTCAGCTACATGTGCACAGGTGTGTGTATCATGGTAAGAGCTTGTTTATATTTCATACAAAAGTTTTTATATGTAGAACTTGGGACATCAGAGGTAAAACAAATTGATAACAGTATGAACCCATGATGCAGCTTTGGTACTGTATGCAGTATTTTTCAAATTTACCTACGATTATTTCTCTCATTGCCGTCTGCCCTTTAATTCTTCATACATTACTACACATCTGCTTTAACTTCAGACGCAGTCAGGTTTCCACCTCTGGTGCAGTGAAAGAAAGGAGAGCAGTGACTGTCAGACCAGTATTGTTGGACTACAAGTTTTTTTTATTATTAAAAACCAAATTATTAAAAGAAAGGGATTTGTGTATTTAAGGCCTTGCCTCATTCCAATAAAGGCTCAAATTTGTTTCTAAGTCCCGTGGTATTCATCTTTTCTTCCTTGACATTCATTTTTATATTGATAATGATTCAAATAGCTACAGTCCCAGTCAAAAGTTTGAACACATCCTCTCAATGACTTTTCTTAGTTTTATGCAATTTTATACATTGTTGATTAATACTTACATCAAACTATGGAATAAAGCAAAATGAAATGTGTATACTAGATCGCTCACAGTTTGTCTTCATGCCCACTTCATTAGATCATTGTCTGGATTAGATGATCGGTGGCGTTTCTTCTTTCATAATGCCTTTGCCACCATTAGTTGTGTTGTGCTGGTGTTTTGTTGGTATACAGCATATAGCGCTATTCAGTCACTGTAGTAATCCACATGAGGGTAAGAACCACTCAGTTAAGAGAAATGCAGTCTCAAAAACCATCAAATGCTCTGTTGCAACTGGCTCTCATGAGGACGGTCTGAGTAAAGGAAGACCAGCAACTGCCTCTGATGCAGAGCTTCAGTTCACTAGAGTGACCAGGCTCAGAAATCACCAGTTAAGGGCATCTTGGAATCGGCGCAGAGTTCAACTAGCAGACACATGTCGACATCAGCTGTTGGGAGAGACTGTGTGAATGAGACCTTCATGGTGGAACTGCTGCAGAAAAGCCACTGCTGAGGGAGACCAAGAAGAAGAAGAAGAAGAAGAGCTGCCTGGGCCAAGAAACACAAAGGTGGAGTGCTGCACCAGACTGACTGGTCTCCACGGTTTCCCAGCCTAAACCCAACTACGATGGTTTTGGATGAGCTGAACTGCACAGAGGAAAAGCAGCCAATAGGTGCTCAGGAACCATTCTAGGTCACTTCCTCATGCTATCTAACCAAATAATTACTCTAGATGACATATGTAGCTCTGGCCTCCAGTACCATGAAGCACAGACCTTGGAGTCATTTAGACCAGGATATGCCCTTTAAATCACACGTACACAAAGTCTCTAGAACTGCCTTCTTTCACTTGTGCAATATCACCAATATCAGGAGCATCCTGTCTCAAAGTGATGCTGAAAAACTGGTCCATGCATTTGTTACTTCCAGGCTGGACTACTGTAACTCTTTACTATCAGGATGTCCCAGTAAGTCCCTAAAAAGCCATTACACGTCACTAACGTTGTGTCTCCTCTCTCCCGTAGTGTGTCCTCTCTCTCTCCCTGTACCTTTCTACAGGTAGCCCTGGCCCTGGAGCTCTACATCTCTGATGATCAGTCACCAGCCACATCGACCTGATCAGTGTTTGATTGTTGTGTCTTGTTGCTTTTCTTCTTCTCTCTCTCCTCTATCCACTCACCCCAACCGGTCGAGGCAGAAGGCCACCCACCAAGACCCGGGGTCTGTCGGAGGTTTCTTCAGTTAAAGGGAGTTTTTCCTCCCCACTGTCGCCAAGTGCTGCTCAGGGGGATTTGTTGAGTTTTCCCTCTGTAATATTAATACTAGTAAGGTCTAGACCGCACTATGTAAAGTGTCCTGAGATGACTTGTCACTAGGAACTTTTATGAAGGGGAAAAAGTTGTTCAAGAAAAATGAAAAATTGTCAAAACCTAGCAATAAAATCTCAGGTTGGCAGCAGTGGCTGCTGCTCTTCTAATTCAGGCTAGGATGACAGTGATACACTCACCCAGTCCACTTCCCAGTTAGGATTTATGTTTCATAACAGCTGTTGGTCACCTGCTTCTTCATCAGGAGGAGGAGGAGGGTGGGGATTCTTCTTCATGTGTCTGTCCTCCAGTGGAACCTGTAGAGGAGCAGCAGGTGTGAGTATCAGCTGTCAGGGAGGTGAGGCCCCAAGACCAGAACCAGCTCCTGTCAGACATGATCTCCTGCACTGGGACCACATCACTCAGCCCAGCTGCTTTCTACAAGGCCTCATCAACAACATCTGGAGAAAACACCGACATCTGTCTGGGATGGTTCACTGTCACATGGACAACCAGGAAGCTGCTGCTACACACACACACATACACACACACACACACACTCACCTAGTTTAACATCCAGGTAGATGGTGCTGATGGGCTCATTGTTTAGATATCTCTTCCTGCGCGTTGTTTTTCCCTGGACGACACGACACTCGTATGTTCCTCTGTCACCAGTCGTCACATTCCTCAGAACCAAAGACACATTTCCGTCCTTCATCTCACTGTCCTCCAGCTCCACCCGGTCCTTAAAAAACTCATGCTGGTTGTCTGGATCATGTTGCATGCTCCGATACACAAAGACATATTCTGGTCTCAGGTCAGGTCTGATCCACTCTACAACTGTGATGTTGGTGCTGCTGGGAGCTCGACATGGCAGAGTGATGTTTTCTCCAGGTTCAGCTGTTTTGTTTATCTGGTCTAAAGCAGAGAAGAGCAAACAGAGAGCAGAGCTTAAAGGGTCCAGGTGTAACTCCACATGTCCACAGCAGCCAATTGAGGGGTGGAGGCAGTGTGGGAGTGTTCAGATCAGTGAGATAAAGGTTTCACCACAGATCTTGTAGTTTCAGTTCATACTCAGAACGATCAAGATAAACATAAAATGTACCACTACATCAGATCTGAGTCTCTGCTCACCGGAGCTGAACCACAGTAAAAGCTAAATAAACTGTCTGGGATGGTTCACTGTCACATGGACAACCAGGAAGCTGCTGCTGCTACACACACACACACACACAGACCTACAAACTCACCTGGATGTTGTTTAAGTTCCAGTTTGACTCTACTGATCAGATCACCCTTGATTTTGGCTCTTTTACGTCGTCCTGAACCACCTGCTGAAACTCGACATTCATATGTTCCTGTGTCAGTGCTGGTCACGTTCCTCAGACTCAGAGTCAGGTCACCATTCTTCATCTGTCTGTCCAGCAAATCCACTCGGCCCTTAAAGGATGAATGTTGGTCGGCTCCATCCAAATGTCCATCTCTGTAAAAGAGGACGTACTCTGGTTCCTCCAGGTCAGTTTTGGTCCACTCCACAGCTCTGATGTGGGAACTGTTAGTTTTACATGGCAAATTGACATTCTGTCCAAGTTCCACTTGTAGGTCTAATAAACAAAACACAACAAAAACATCCAGGTCAAAATGAATTTATCACAGGACACATGTTTATAACATGTTTATACACAGATACATATTTAACGCCATAAAAAAAACTTGACACTGACTTTCTTCCACTAGTTTCTAACCAAATGTGTTGCTGCTTCTGGTATCCTGCTGCTTTTCACTGCTCACTTCAGTACAACGTAACACAACTCAGTACAAGGGACGTTTGAGTCACTGCCCCAACATCCTCAGACACAACTACACATTTTACACAAGCTCAACATTTCTTGGACCAAAACAGCAGGAAAGGTTTTTAAATGCATGATGTTAAAGATCTTAGCTCTGCTGCATTTATGTTGAAATGCTGACAGGAAACAAAGTCCCACCCCATGACAATCTGTCCCTCCCCAGGACAACTTGTCCCTCCCACACCATATTTAGGCATCAAGCGTTGTTCAATCTTTGCAGCTGGTACCAGTTGTCTGACGGTACAGGAGATCATCAGGGTCACTGTCAGAAAATGACTGTTTGCTGCTGGAACACAGACATTTCCCCATTGAGGGATCAATAAATTACCTTCCTAGCTAAAAAAAAATCTGAATTCTGACTTTAAAGTTGACTACTAAAAAGTATTAGATAAGGAAATGTTCAAATGTTTTATACATCATATATGTACATTGAAGACACCTTAACTTTGAACAAGATCTACATTATTCTACACCTTCTAAAATTCTGACTCATTAAAAAACTCAAATTAGCTGCTCTTAATACATAAACATTTTGTAGGGCAAGATAACATTATTTTATAACATCAGCCAAAAATCTTTCGCTACATAAACATCTTCCCCTACATAAACATTAACAACAAAAGCTCACCTTCGCCAGAAGCAGCTGGACACAGAAGTAGCAAGACTAACACAAACATAGCCATGACTGGTGTGGATGTGACGTTGTCGCTGGTACGGTATTATGTGAGCGTAGTGTGTTCAGATATGAGGTGGAGTCAAACAGAAACGGAAGCCACGTGCACTGCAGACTGCAGCCGGTTTCACTGCAGTCTGTTTTACTTTGCAATTGATCCACGGACCGGTACCGGTCCGCGGCCCGGGGGTTGGGGACCACTGGGCTACACAATGTCTTTTACAAGTTATTATTTTGTGTGAACAAATGATATCTTGTATATATGAATATTTTAAAATGATTATATGTGGGCATTCTTAAGGCCTTTTCACACGAACGCGACGCGAATAAGAGATATTTTCTTAAAACGTCGTGCTACAAAGATGGACTCCACATCAAGCGACGACGATGTACTGCTTGTCCTGCTACATAAAAAAGAAAACAAAGAAGGTTTTGGGTCCATCCTATATTGAAAAGAAGGAGAGAACATGGCGAGTTTCATCGGTTGGTACAGGAACTGAAGTTGTATCATGGTCGCTTTAGGACCTATTTCAGGATGTCTGTGGGACAGTTTGAAGAGTTGTTGGTGCTGTGTTAGAGGAACAGTTTAGCTGATGTTACTTTTATTCTTCCTCATGAATTGGATTTTGCTGCTGCAAAAGTGAAGTTTGGAGCACAGCTGTAAGTTAAGGTATCGCGACACTGTTCATTCTGTGCCTGGAGCATTAGCTTGTCCTGTGTCACCATCAGCAGCTCTCCTGTCACGTTAGCTGTTCCTCTGTGGTGTAAAGTGCAGGAAGTGCAGTGGCTTAGGCATTAGCATAGAGACTGCTGTTAACATTACTGCAATCCAGCTGCGGTTTTCACCCCCATGTCATAATACAAATGTACTGTCATGAATAAGGCATCATTTTTAACACAGGAAAACAAAAATCTGAATTTCAGAATCTCATCCAAGTTGGTTTTGACTAGTTGGATATCTGTTGTGCTGTAGTACTGGGAAGGAAACAAAGATTAGGGGGCAAAACTTTAAAATTTGACAAACTCCAAATAAGTCACTGCCAAATGTCATTGCAATGCACTGTCAGTGTAGTGCTGCACCAACACAACCTTTGCTACTACAAAACTACTTTTGTAAACTTGTTTATGTCACTCCATGTCCTTGTAATCCATGTAGAATTTCAAATGTGAAGTTGTCCCTCTGAGACAGACAGGCCAACACAACCCAGACCAGAAACATACACAGTGAGGAGAAAAAGAGAGAAATATATTGCAAAGTGTGCTCAAGCACAACAACTGTCTGAGACACAGCAAAACTACAATGTGATTTAAAGCATCAGTAAAAGATTGATAGAATACAGAAATATCTCTAGTCCCAAATACACATGCTCTGCTGACTGAATGGGAAAGCAGGTTCCAGAAGCCTTCCTGTGGATGTAGAATGACCTATTTAGCATGTCATATAAATGTAATGTTCAAGTGCCCATATACTTTTGTTGATGTAATAAGTTGTCTTCCTCAGATGTCAGAAAAACATGAGACTGTATCACAGCTGTCCCTGTTCCATTGTGTTTTTTTTTAACTTCTTCTCGTTGTGGTTTGTGGAAGATTGTTATTACAGTAAAGTCTTGTTTTCCACATTTTGATGTCTTTGATAGAAATGACAAATAAATATGGAGGTGATAGTCTCAACTTAATATCCCCATGATGCTCTGAGTTTCTTTCCCCTCCCGTCCTCCTCTCCTCTCCTCTCTCTCCCTATGCTTCTATATGCCACTACTACACATCACTAACTTTTGTTGTGTCTTGTTGCTTTTCTTCTTTTGTCTCTCCTCTATCCACTCACCCCAACCGGTCGAGGCAGAAGGCCGCCCACCAAGAGCCGGGGTCTGTCGGAGGTTTCTTCTGTTAAAGGGAGTTTTTCCTCCCCACTGTCACCAAGTGCTGCTCAGGGGGATTTGTTGGGTTTTCCCTATGTAATAATATTGATAACAGTAATGTCTAGACCTTAGTTTGTAAAGTGTCCTGAGATGACTTTTGTTGTGATTTGGCGCTATACAAATAAAATTTGATTTGATTTGAATTTGAAATCAGTCCCTGTGTGCATAGATTGTTGTGTTTGTAGAACTTTTTTGCTAGGTTAAAATTTGTTCAGGGTCATTCAGTGAACTACACTGAAGCCATGCCTTCCAGTCATGTGTCATCTCAGCACTGATGTTTTTTACATTTCAAACTTTCTGTTTTTACATTCAAAGACTGCATGCAGTTCTTCATTTGTCCAACAGATGTCACTCTCTTTCTGCATCTGGATTTTTCTTTTCCTTCTGAGCTGTTTGGACCTTTGTGCCTATGCATGAACATGCAACGTAATGGAAAGTAATTCATTTGGGTCTATAAGCAACAGGATGTACAAACAGCTCAGTGGCTGGAAAGACATCCACTAGGTGTCTTCATATTTTCATATGCCGCGCTTCTTTACAGCAGTATAGGTGAAAGGTGAAAGGAGTAGGAGGAATTAATTTTCAGATGAGCACTATGTGCAAAATGATGTGCCAGCACCATCTAAAGAGACTCTGAGAAGGTTAAATACTGATATGTGGCAGCAGCAGATCGATTTGACAGGGCATTTACTTTTGGAACCTAAATTGTCTCCACTATCACTCCACACAGCCAATGTCCTGATTCATCTGAGGGCTAATGACATATATTTTGCAGCCACTTCTTTTACTTGTGTCCCACAGAAGACTGTAATATCTTTTTATCTTCAATAACAGGCCAGAAATCGGATGCTCACTTGAGTGAGTGCCAATCCCAGAGTGAAGGTGGACACACTTTGTGAATGTTGGCTGTTGTAATGTCAGGCTGGATGTTACTGCTTTCTGCTGATGCACAGAAACACGGAAGGTATAGAAGATCTGGAGGAGAAAGACTGCAACAGCAAGGCACCTGCAAAGCTGCAGTATCTTGCATGCCTGCCAGGTATGCAGAGCTAATGTAATGATGCAACACATTAAAAATGAAAGGCATTTTTCTCATATTGTGGCCAAATCAATATCAAAATAAAACCATTTTTTAACTGCTTGAAAACAATTTCCATTGGCTTTTACTATGGCTCACAATATGCTTGTTTTGTCCAACACTATATATATAGACAAACATCTGGGGTACTTGCCTGCACACTGTGTAACTATGTGTGGACCCTTACTGGTGCCATAGTAACTGGATGACTATTCACCCGGTGACATTGGGACCCAACGCTGATACTTGAATAGCTTGCATGGTATCTTTTCATTATGCACAACATAAACATACTGGTGACATCTGAGGATGTTTCTAGCTACTGTATGGAAAACTTTACACAACATATAATGTAGTTTGGTGCAGAACAATAGTCTGTTTTGTGACCATTATTTGAATTCCATTAGTTGTTTCGTTTATGTTGTTGACATCCGTGCCCCATGTAAAGCTTAGCAAATTCTTTTCTTTTTTAAAACTATTCTTAAAATACAGTTTGTTGAGCTGTATGTCTGTCAACTTTGTCAGTTTTACATGTTTAGCTGGCTAAAAAACACCAAAGCATGTCACTGGCTTTGTACCTGTATCTTGCACCGTGACAATAAAGTTGAATCTCTTTTAATCTCTGGGTGACACCAGTCATTAATTTGATTTGACTAACTGATACTGAGCCACCTGAACACTGTGTTCATTTTCCATATAACAGTGAAAAAGTGTTATCTCTAGAAAACTTCCAAGGAAATTCATGTTTTACCACATACTATTGAATTAAAGATCATTACAAAAAAGGTGTGGTGAGTGAGTTATGTGAATGCTCACAGGATGGGTGGTATGTGTCTAGTGTGGTAGTTGTAGTGTAGAAAGGGCTTATACCGTCTCAATCTCAGCTACCGCCGCTGTCTAGCCTGTTTTGGGTGAAAAGTAGGCCAAGTGGGTAAGTCCTCCCTGACAGTACAGAGCCTCTCCATCATCAGGACCCTAACTATGCCTCTTCGTGGCAACCCACATCACCTGGGTACCTTACGGCTCCAGGCTAAATAGCTAGGGATCTTGGAGGAGCTTGGCCCCCAGAGGTGAGGTGTGCAGGCCCACTGGTGTGTGGACAAGCCCTGGTACCTACCAAGCAAGCCCCATCTATGGGTTAAATAGACAGCAACCATGCTGTAACTGGTGAGTGATCTGTACACTCGGCTTAGGAGGGACATGGAAGTCCCCGATGGCAAGGGTGGAGGAGGTGCCATGACACCCAATGGTCAGCAGGCGTCGCTCGGCCTGGTGGAACTCACAAAGGGCGGAGGAGGATAACCATCCCAATGGCCAGAGCAGTAGTGAGAGGAGCTGCGCTGCACCCCCAGTACTTAACAGCATCGATAGGCTTAATGATGGTAACACCAACAGGAGAACAGGAGTGACTGGTGTAGCCGTTGTCGGGCCCGACTTTGACCAGAGTGAGTGAGTAACAAAAAAAAAAAAAAAACTGCTTCTCAGCAGCAACATGGCCTGTTTCTTTCTCTGGCACACATTTCCACCATTGTTGGTGTTTGCTCATCCCCTGCTGACCTTGCTTCATGTCTTAGCATATGGTCATACAATTCATGACCTTCTTGGGCTTGTTAAAACAAGTATATCAATGCTTCACCTCTGGGTCTAAATAAATCAAATCAAATTTTATTTGTATAGCGCCAAATCACAACAAAAGTAATCTCAGGACACTTTACAAACTAAGGTCTAGACCTTACTGTTATCAATATTATTACATAGGGAAAACCCAACAAATCCCCCTTGAGCAAGCACTTGGCGACAGTGGGGAGGAAAAACTCCCTTAACTAAATGAATCAATAAAGCTGTGGGTACTTCAGATGTATTGATTACTATGCATCATACAGTACTGTACGCTCATCCTAAATTCATTCTGCAGCATTGCAGCAAAGCCAAACACACTACCAGAGTAATAAAGGGCTATCTTCAGAGACAAGAAGAACCAGGACTCCTGCAACAGATGGTCTGGACCCAACAGAGCCCTGATTAAAACATTGCAGCCAGTCTGGGATTACATGCAGAGACAGAAG